AGGTCTTTTGTTCACAGGGTTGCAATAAGTTGTGTTCAACTTCACAGCACCTAACAACCACAACATAGGTTAGGGACTTCTGGTTACTTAGTGGTGAAGAAATTACTCTGCCTACGCAAAGGAACGCAGTTTGAATCCACCAGCTGTTCCATGGGAGACAGATGGGCGATCTCTTCTCATGTGATTTATTGCCTTTGAAAACCTGTGGGAGGATCTGCAGTTTTAACACAGGGGGACCTAATAATACACTTTAAATAACATCTCAAGTTCTAGAAATTTGTACAAACATTATAATTTATAATTTTTTTTCTGTTTGGCTTCTCAGCAAAATTTTTTTTATATTCAGCTATCATTCTTGGTTTGTAGTACTGTATTGTAGTCCACTGTATGAATACAGTGTACTTTTAAAATTCATTCTTCCGTTGATGAGCATTGTTTTTCTCAGTTTGGGGCTGTGGTTGTTATGTGCCATTGAGTTGCTTTGTGACTCATAGTGACCCTGTGTTTGCCCTATACCCTGCTCTATCCTGTGCTAACCTTATTGTCTCTAACACACCTACCCTATTATCCGTCACTGAATCAATCCACCTCATAGAGGGTCTTCCTCTCCTGCGCTGTCCCTCCACCCTCCCATGTATGACATCCCTCTCCAAGGACTGGTTCCAAGCAACATGTCCAAAGTATGTCAGATGAAGCTTCAGGATCCTTGCTTCCAAGGAGCAGCCTGGTTTCACCCTCTCTCGTATAAACCTGTTTGTTCTCCTAGCCATCCATGATATATTCCATACTCTTCTCCAGCACCACAGTTCAAAAGCCTCAAGTCTCCTTTTATCACCCCTAGTCATTGTTCAGCTCTCTGATGCATAGCAACCAATTGCAAAGACCATGGCCTGAATCAAGCACACCTTAGTCTCCAGACTGGCATCGTTGCTCTTCAGTACTTTGGAGAGGTCTCTTACAGCAGACTTTCCCAATGCAATGTGTCTTTTAATTTCCGGGCTGCTAGTACCAAGAGTGTTGATTGTGAAGCCAAAGAAATGGAAGTTGTTAACAATCTCAATCTCTTCCTTGTCTATCATGATGCTGCCAACTGGCCCAGTGATGAGAATCTTTGTTTTCTTAATGTTGAACTTCAAGTAAATTTCCTATAAACATTTTTTAACAAGGCATTGTGTATACACACTTTCATACACCTCAGGTAAATAACTAGAAATAAAATGGCTATCTGATGTGGCTTTTGTATGTGTAACATATTAGGAAACAGCTGACATATATTCCAACATATTCATTATGTTCGAGTGGATCTGACTCCTAGCTGACCATCTCTCAGGTTTTCAGAAGCTGTAAAGTACAAGAAGGAATGGGACATTGGGATTGGAGGAAGACTCATCAACAACAGGCTTTATGCAGATGATACAACATTGTTTGCTGAAACTGAGGGGACCCAAACCATTTGGTGAGAAAGGTCAATGACTGCAGTCTCCAATATGGACTGAAGCTCAACATCAAGAAAACTAAGATACTCACCCACTTGTCCAATTGGCAACACCATGGTAGATGGAGAAGAGACTGAGATTGTTAACAACTTCAACTGGCTTGTCTCCACCATCAATACTTTTGGTACCATCAGTGAGGAAATCAAAAGACTAATTGTATTGGGACAACTTCCTGTCAGGGACCTCTCCAAAGTGGTAAAGAACAATGATGTCAGTCTAGAGACTAAGGTGCATCTGATTCAGGCAATGGTCTTTTACATTACTTACTATGCATCAGAGACCTGGACAATGATTGAGGATGACAGGAGAATCATCGAAGCCTTTTGAGCTGTGCTGGAGAAGAGTCTTGAACATACCGTAGACTTGCCAAGAGAACAAACGGGTCTGTCCTTTAGAAGTGGAAACCAACTTGCTCCCTGGATGAAAGGATTTTGAAGCTTTGTCTCACATACTTCAGGCATGTTGCCGAGAGAGAACAGTCCTTCAAGAAAGATATCATGCTTGGAAGGGTGGAGGGACTGTTCAGAAAAGGAAAACCCTGGGTGAGATGGACTGACACAGTAACTGAGGTATGGAGGTAGGTGTACTGGGGACACTGAGACTGGCTCTGGATAGGGCAGGGTTTGTAGCTGTTGTCCATAGGGTCACTATGACTCACAGACAACTTGATGGCACATAACAACAACCACCCTAAAAGTGAAAGATCTCTAGTGGTGTAGAAGGGATTGCACTGCTAACTCAAAGTGCACCTCTCTATTGCTTTGAATCCAGTAGTGGTTCTGATGAAGACAGACTGGCAATTTTACCGATTTAATTTATAGCCCTGAAAACCCACTGAAGATCAGCTATGTGTCTGTTACCATTCAACAGCAAAAGTACCAAAAGTAAAAAGTATCTCATTAATATCTCCTTAATGGTTTTGATAAGCATTTCTCAAATGATTAATAATGTTGAGCATTTTTTCATGTGCTTATTTGTCATCCATACATCTACTTTGATAAATTGCTTCATTGGCCCAGTTTATAAAATTGGTTGGTTGGTTATTATTTTCATACCAATATATTTACCTTGGTGTTTGTATGTTTTGTCCATTTTCAACTAGATTTTTGCAATGATTTCTGAGATGTGTGTGTGTATACACACATATAGACACATACATACATTTATGTGTACACATACAACATACTTGCACATTCTGGATATGAGTCCCTCATCTAAGTGATTTGGCAACACTTTTTTCCCATGCAAAGTTTGTCCTTTTATTTTCATTATAGTGCTCTTCAGAGAGCAGATGTTCTTTTGATAAAGTCCAATTTATTTGCTTTTCTTTTATGCAACATGCCTGGTGAGCAGAGGGGAAAATCTTAGAGTCACACAATTTGGTGGGTGGGTAGGGGTAAAGGAAACAGGAAAGATCTAGCGATGATCTGGAAAGACCGGGTAATTGTGGGCATAGTCCAATGGTGATCAGTATTTTTAAAAATTTTTAAATTTAATTTTATTATTTTTGTGTATATGTGTGTACCACCAAATCAGATCTGACTGGTACAGGAGGAGATTGTCCCTCCTTCTCCAGCTGAGCATCTGGTGGATTCAAACAGCACACCTCTGGGATTGTAGTGCAGCTTCCTGCCACTAGGCCACCAGAACTTGCCAATGACAATTAGTTTTATAAAACATAATGAATGAGAATGACTGTGTGAAACAATGTGAATGAAGGATAGTGTGAAACACATTGTATATTAACTTTGTAAGCAAAATAATATGAAAAAAAATTTTAAAAGCTGTATCTAACCATGCAGCAACTGAAAAAAACAAGAGTAATTAATTATATAAAATACAATGTATATGAATGATTGTATGAAACATAAAGACTGTATAAGACACAATGTATATTAATGAAACACAATGCAAACATTATTGTATGCAACCAATTAAAAACATAACAAAAAAATTACTGTTCTATCTAAGAAATCTTTGCCTAATATTAGGTCACAAAAATTGTCCTATGCTTTCTTCTAGAGAACTTTTTCCATTTTCAGAATCTGGACCACTCTGAATCAACTGTCCATATTACAGTACTGACTGCTTCTGTGTGCTGTCAAGTTGGCATCAGCTATCCAGAGTGAGCCAATGTCAAGAAGAGGGACAAAACACAGTTTTTTTTCAGCTCAAATCCTACGTAATACGATTTCTTTGTAAAAGCTCTTGCTTCACACTAAGATAGCACTGGCATGCCTGCAGCTCTGCAAATGCACCTATCATCTAGAGAAATGGTCTCTGAACATATGCAAAGTGGTTTGATACCACTGAGTAACTAGGATTAGTCAGGTGCAATTGTGACGAGTTGGTCCTAAGTTTTATAAACCACTTAAATAACCATTGCTATCTGAGATATGTTCAGCTCCTGTTTTTCCATAATAACCACCCTCTACACTCAAACCAAAGCATGTTAAATAGACATGACTGACAATTGACACTATTTCCGATGGCTGTTTATTGAGTGCTGTAATTACACCTGATGTTAAACAGTAATACACTGGTTACAATCTTACCATAACGCATCTATTTCACAGTTAATTTTGAAAGGTAGAAAAGCTATTAAGTCCTACTAGTAATTTTCACAAATAGAGTCAGATTTCTGAAAAACATTTTCAATGACTATACCAAAATTTATTTAAAAGAACACATATTAACCAGATGTACAAACTTAAAATCTAGTCATTTAATAAATAACAGGAATTTTTAATAATGGGCTTGCTTCCCATTTTCCAGTCTTTGACCTGTTTATTTACTATTAATTCATAGATACATGACTCAATTTTAAAAGCTAATATCTTCTTTGGTTTACTGGGAGGTAGAGTAATTATGAAAAAAAGGGAACACTTCAGTTCTTTGCTTAAAGTCTGATTTGCTCATAAACGCCAAAACGTACTTCTCATCACAAACTCAAAGTCCTACTGACTGTCCATTGAGGAGTATACCAGTTGAATACATCTTCCTTGTATTCCCCAATCAAAAGAAATTCAATTTCATTGCTGTTGTAAACAAATAACAGTATATTAATTTTAATAGCAGTTAGAACTAGTAATGCAAGACTGATATATAGAAACATACAAATACACAGAGGTTAAAAAAAAATCCTCATGTGGATGATTTATTTTTCCTATGTTTCACACAGATACAATGTGCACAAAGGATCTCCCTTTACTCCATGGGCGGGCCCACAATAGCGTAATTGTGTTCCCCCGGCCCTCTGAAAATGGCAACATGAAATGAAATGCAGATTAATTCCAGATGATTGATACCATTCAGTTAAATGGGATATCTTTAAGAACAATCAACAATCATGCAAAAATAGCCTGTGATTAGTAAACATGGTGAGGACAAGCTTAGGCCTCAGAAGAGCCCTGCCCTGGGTCACGGGAGCCCTGAAAAGGAGAAGCTCCCTGGCTGCACGGAGAGCGGCCTCTTCCTGTCACAGCGCATCCTGCCGGCGGACGCTCACCATCCTATACAGGGGTCTGGGCAGTCCCTCAGGTAAGATTCAAATCGACCTTTGGTAACATCCATCAAGGTTGTGAATACAGTCAGCTGAAAGAAAAACCGTTTTTACTCTAAGGATATTTTCTATTTCCTAGCTCATGCTAGAATTTTTATACCTCTAGAATGTGATTTAAGGCATTAAATAGTTCTCAGCAACTGACAAGATAACCATTCTCACTACAACAACAGCTTGCTCAGTAGGGACCAGAACAGAGGTTACAGCTCATTTTACGGGGTCCTACAGATTGTGTGCCAGAGAGAGAGAGAGAGAGTGTGTGTTTACAAATGAAAGATTTAAAGCAACCCCCTCAATCAGCACCATATTTCTAACAAATGTTCACTCTCTGTCTCTGTATCAGATTTTAGTAATTCTCACAATATTTCCAACATTTTCCATAATGACACTGGGCACAATTCTTACTCAGAGAGACTGTCCACTGGTTTTCTGAGGCTGTAAATCTTTACAAAAGCAAATTATCCATCTATCTCCCTTGAAGTGATCTTGCTGACCTTCTGCTTAACACCACACATTACACACTACTCAGAGCTACCAATAGATGAGAGTAACATGCAAGCATAACTTCATATGAAATGGGACACAAATTCAAGTGGCTCACTTTACTGCAATACGTGATGGTTTGGACCTAAGCCTGCCATGTCCCGAGGTATGTCTGTAGGCTCAGAAGAAAAATCTCTTTTGTTTTCTTAATAAGCCTTTTCTCCTAAGCTGTACACTCCTTGACTGATAACGCTTTAAGACTTTCAAGACTCAGCACTGCACAAAGCATACTCTGTAGTCAAGCACAGCCTAACAGAATGCACAGAGCAGCTTCCTGCAGCTGGGCTTCCAACTGAGGGGGTCCCTGGTGGTTACTGTCTGCTTTTCATAAGACCAATCTCATTCGGAAGTAGGCGACCAGGTCCTTCTTCCTAGGTGCTTTAGTCTGAAAGCTCTGCTGAAACATGTCCACCATGGGTGACCCTGCATGTATTTTGAAATATTGGAAGCATCATTTCCAGCATCAACAATGTTGAAGCCACTAGAGCAGGACCCAGTGACGGATGGTAGTGGTTTCTAACTGTGCTGTTGTTGTAGTCAAGAACCGACCCATAGCTGACCCTCCAGGAGGTTTTCAGAGGCGGTAAATCTCAATGGAAAAGACTGCCCATCCTTCTCCCTCAGTTCTAGCTAGGGGTTGTGTCTGAAAATGGTCTTTTGGGCTTTGTCACCATTTAGATGTTAGTTGTAGAGAATGTGTTGAGGTTTCTGATGGACTGGAGAAAACCAAGAGTAAAATACTAGACTTAATTCAAATGTCATTTCAGCAAAAATGGAAACAATACCCAATGTAATCATCAAACCACTGTGATCAATTTCTTTGTCACATTCAACACAAAACACTCTAATTTTTATCTTAATAAAAAAATTCAACATTAAACTGAATAAGACTTGGGATTCTAGCTCTGATCTAAGAGATGATTGAAAGATAAAGCAAAGGACCAAAATATTTCCCACAGAACAAAAACATAAAAAAAGAAAGAAATACCTTGTTAAGGACAGGTTTTGTTGACAGGATATCATATATACCTTCAAGTGAAATTTTCTAAAACAACAAAAGGAATATTTTTCAGTAAAATAAATGCAGAACTCAGGAGCTTTTTACAAATGGGTCATTGAAAACTCAGACATTCTTCAACCTCAAAACTCAAAATCACTGCTATCTAGTCAGAAGCAATGTGGGGCTGACCCTCCAGTGGGTTTTTGAGGCTGTAAGTTGCATGGGAGGAAACACCTGTATTTCTGCTACAGAGCAGCTGGGAGATCTCAATACCCACAGAGGTGAGCAGTGCAACCAAGGGTTAGCGGCACAACTCCGGATGGACGACAACACCCCTAAAAGAATTCTCCCAAGAGCCACTGACACAATAAAGGCGGGAGAAGACTATTTATTTTTGCTCATTTTTCCTACTCTATTTCATTTCACAGAATTATGGTAAGGCAGAAAAGTACAACAAAATTTTATGGTTTAAGTTAAAAGTAGAGCCTCAGTAGCCTAGAGGTATTGAGCTTTGAGGTATATAAATTCTTTTTAAAAAAAACCCACAATATCAGAACTAAGAAAAGTTATAATGATTATAATTTATTTCAGCACGTGATATTGCAAACATACCTCTTGGGTTGTCTGGTTCAGACATATTTTTGCAGCCGTTCTACGATCATCAAGGAAAAAAGGATTTTTCCAACGGTCATAATTTGTTTCTACCACATACCATTTACCTTGTTTAGCATTCAATCTAGATAGAAAAAGAAATATTCCCTTTTAGACTTCCGGCTTATCCTTATGTAATCCTATACTACTATCAGCTTATAGCTTCTAACCGTCTTATTTAACAAACATACTTACTCATTTACATCCAAAGATGTTTTTCTGTCTCTTGTAATTACACAGCCCTCACCAGACTGGTTGCCTCCCAGGATAAAGTATGCTGGAGCCAATAACTTGGTTTTGATCAATATACTCTTGGCTTCTTCATAACTATGTTGAAATAAAAAGTTCATAGAAAACAATTTTAGCATCCTTGGAAGCACAAGTAAAATTGTCTGAATATACTATTGTTGAAAAACAGTTTTCGTTTCTTTGGGAAGACTTTTTGTTTAGCTCTTTGGAAACAAAAGGAAAACAAGTATCTGTTGTTGCTGTTATGTGCCCTCCAATCAGAACTCACAGCTGACCATCCAGCAAGTTTTCAGAAGCGGTAAGTGCACAGGAGGAGACTGCCCATCTTTCTCCCCTGGAACAGCTGGTGGATTTGAACTGCCTCCCTGTAGGTTGAGAGTGCAACGCCTTACCACAAGGCCACCAAAGCTCCCTAACAAATATGATTTTTAAATGAATGGCAGACAGTGGTTGAAAAAGAACAAGTCCTGCTCCTGTGTAAGCACAGGTGAGAGCTGAGCAACAGCGCTACACAGATTCTTTCACATGAAGGACAAACAGCTTCAAGAGTGCTCCCAACTTTATGGCTCATCCCATTTATGTAACAACAGAACAAGTGGCAGAGCAAACAAGAGTTAGGGAATATAAAGCTGCTTGAAGAATACTGTTGTTATTAGATTCTGACTGTTCAACTGAGTTGTTAAGGCTGTGACCTTCTGGAAGTAAGACTGTCCACCTTTCTTCTGAGGTATCTGGGTGGTTTAGAAGCAGCAACCTTCTAGCTAAAGGTCTTGTGCTTAACCACCCAGGGAGGCTGGATTGATTGCCTTCAAGTCGAGTATGACTCATAGCGACCCTATGAACAAAAGGCCTAAAGACCCTCTACAACTATCGTCATTTATCAAATTTCATAGAGTTTCCAGAGGCACGTTGTTTAGAAGAGGATGCCACTCATTCAAAGTGGTTTACCAAAGATAACTATTCAATCCATTCCCTCAGAAGCAATGAAAACCATCTTGAGGCCCACTGACCCCAATCAATCAATTGGATGCAGTACCGGTTGAATCAAAGGCAGTTCTGCTATAAAATTTCTGCACAAGAGTAGATTATAACTCTTAGGTTAGGACATATTGTTGTTATGTGCCACTGAGCTGCCTGCAACTCAGCAACTGTATGTACAGTACCTCTGAAGCCTGCCCTATCCTGAGCCAGTCTCATTGACTCCAGCACACCAACCCCCCACTGCCCCAGTTACTGTGTCAATCCATTTCATCCAGGGTCTTCCTCTCCTGTGCTGTCCGTCCACCCTTCCAAGCATGATGTCCTTCTCCAGTGACTGGTTCCTCTTGGCCATGTGCCCAAAGTATGAGACAGAGCTTCTCAATCCTAGCTTCCAAGGAGAAACTTGATTTCACCCTCTCCAAGACAGACTTGTTTGTTCTTTTAATGGTCTATAGTATGTTCAATACTATAACTCAAAAGCATTGATGAGTCTTCTGTCATCCTTAGTCACTGTCCAGCTCTCTGACGCAAAGCAAGTAACCACGAAGACCATGGCCTGGATGAGTTGCACCTCAGTCCCTAAACAGATATCGTTACTCTTCAGTACTCTGGAGAGGTCCCTGATTACCGACTTTCCCAGTGCAATTTGTCTTTTGATTTCCTGACTGCTGGTCTTAAGAGTGTTGACTGTGGATGCATCTATCATGGTGGTTCCAACTGGACCAGTGGTAAGAAACTTGGTCTTTTTGATGTTGAGCTTCAATCCATATTGAAGACTTCAATCCATTATTGAAGGTTAGGACATATTATCATTTAAATTAATAGTTTACTGAACAATTTTTTTGTGATATAGATTTTTCTGGTATACAAAAAAATTCAAAGATGCTCTTAATAATGCTAGGTGGTATCCTGGGCACTTTTAAAATTAATCCTATTCATTCTATAGGGAGCGCTAGTGTCCTAGTGGCAAGAAGCTGTGCTGCAATCCTGAAGGCACATGGTTCAAGGCCACCAGCTGCTCCTCAGGAGAAAAGATGAGCAATCTCCTCCTGTGTAGTTAGCTGCCTCTGAAAACTCACTGAAGTGTCAGCTATGGGTCTGTTTTGACTCAATAGTGCATAATAACAACAACAACAACATTCATGTTATACAACACACACATAAAGTGTGACTAGCTCCACATGAAGGAAATTTGGAAATAATTCCTTAATGGAAGACATATAGGGACTTAAAAATATTTTAATATGAATCATTTTCAACAAGCTAAACATCAATTTGATAACACAACCACCAAATAGATTACCTCGTGCTGTTTTCTAAAACTGATCTAGTGATAAACCCTATCCATGTGGCATCTTTCTTTCCCATTATCCATTCAAGGATACCTGCAAGAGAGAAAAGACACATACACTGTCACAGGACTGGAAGAAATGAGACCTCTCATCAAGAAAATATAGTCCAACCCTTCTATTAAAACACTGAGTAAATTCCCATTTCTATTCAGAACTCTACTCACCCATATAACCGCCATTCAATGTGAAACGTTCATTCAGCGTGAGACTAAACAGGCCCTGAGAAAAACACAAAGCAATAAAATCAGAACTGCCAATCCTATCCTCCTCTGTAAGGGAGAACTGAGTAGTATACAAAAGCCGCAACTGGGCAAAACCATGGTTAAATCATTCCATCTTAACAATGCTTTGTGAAAAGTTTATACTATGATCATATTAAGTATGCGAGCAAAGCAGGTTGAGTAATACTGGCCTCAACTTTTCTGAAAGAAACTGAAGTACCGAGAATGAGCATCTAACTTGGTTCTGGGATCAGCAGATCCTGGACTAGATCCCAAATTCCAATTCCAGCCCTTATTTCAGACCAGATTAGAAGCTTTACTGCAAGTCTCTAACACGCAAGTTGATACCAACAAAGGTGACAGGACGTAAAATTAATTTGCTTCATATTTGTTTTAGGTTCTCATTGTCTCAAGACTCCATCTTTCACAGATAGGAAGGCCACACAAAAAGCTCCCTGTAAAGTTAGGTAACACGAGGCGCCTTACTGGTTTGAATCCTGTTAACATGCCCACATAGCCAGCAAAGCTGGTAGCCTTGAAGACAGTTTGATTGTTTCTTCGGAAGTCCAAATTCACTGTTAAAGGTTTGAGTTCCTCAGTTATGACCCAAGAATTATTATTTATATTCCACCTAAAAAGAAGGACAAATTTCAGTGACATTTAAGAACAATCTGGTTAACATTTATAATAGCTATGATGACTATGTTAAAAAGAGCCAGAAACTGTAAAAGTTATGCTATATACCAATCATCAGTGATCCATCTTCCCCCCTGCCCCATTGCCATTAATTTTATTCTCACTTACAATGACTTTACAGTACATACAGGAACTTAGGGCTTTCAAAACTGTAATATTTACAGAAGTAAAAGGAGGATGGAGGGAGAGGGAGAGAGAGCAAGAACCAGAAGTTAAATGAATGATTAATAATATGTTATTAGCTAAAAATAATAAAATTGTATTATCAAGATTAAAATAGGCATGCAGTCATGGAGGATGACAGAAACCCATGAACAAAGCAATGTCTGGGGAATAACAATAAGGAAAGAATCAACAGGACCAAGACTGACTTGAGTATTTAACCCCCAAACTGTGAGGAAATAAACCTGTTATTTTTTTAAATTTTTATTAATTTTAATGAAAGTTTACAGAGACTTTGGATTTCCATTCATTCATTATTGCACTTTTCTCCTTGCCCACCCCTCCCCACCAATTCACTCTTCTCTTTGAAAAGTAAAAGAAAAATTCTTTCATTGTCATACAATCCCTCCCCACAAGTCCACTCCACTATGCAACCTTCATTTTGGATTCCTGTCATGATAATAATACCTAATCCTATATCCCTTTTAAAAAGTTCTCTCCCTCCTCTGTTGCAATGCAGTATATATAATTTATCCCATCTTTCTCAGTCTCTCCTCAAGCCCAATGTCAGTCCCATTTTACAACAGTGGCACTATGCAGTATTTGTCCTTTTGTGACTGAGATATTTCACTCAATGTCCTCTAGGACATTGAGTATATTTCATGAGTTCTTTGTTTTTCAAAACAGCATAGTATTCCATTGTGTGAATATTCCACAGCTTCTCTTTGCTATTGTGAACAAAGCCGCGATAAACATGGGTGTGCATATGTCTGCCTGGGTGGCGGTTATTATGGTTTCTTTGGGGTATATTGCCAGTAGTGGAATTGCTGGGTCAAATGGTATTTCTATTTGCAACTTTTTGAGAAAGCACCATACAGCCTTCCATAGTGGTTTCACCATTTTACACTCCCAACAACAGTGAATAAGGGTTCCAGTTTCTCCACAGCCTCATCAGCATATGTTTGCTGTTCTGTTAAATTTTGCTATTCTGACTGGGGTGAGATGGTATCTCATAGTTGTTTGGATCAGTGATCAATCTTAACAAGTATTGAACTAACTGTAATACAGGAATTTAATGTCTACTTTTTCAGACACCAAAATTGAAGTTTGAAGAAGTTAAGTAATTGTCCTAATTACTTACAGTATATAGTGAGTCCATGATTCAAACCTGTCTTTTTAATCACAACATATAACACTTTTTTCCCTTTTCTCAGAAAGACTAAGAACTCAATTTCTTGCCAGTGAATTGGAACTGACTCACAGGTGGACCCTTCAGTAGGTTTTCAGGAGGCTGTAAATTGTGTGGTTGGAGATTGCCCATCCTCACAAGGTGCTGCTGGTGGATTCGAACCATTGGAGAGGCAACACCTTTGGGTTAACAGCACAAATCCTTTCGGACTATGCCACCAGAACCCAGAAAGGCCAAGAGGACAATGAAATACAATGCTACTCTTCCTTCTAAGCAATAAGCAAGATACATGTCTAGGACCTTTAAGCATGCTGAAAAATTTTCACTAAGTACAATTTCTTAGTTGTAAACATTCAAGTAACTGAATGGTAAGAGTGTTCCTAAGGAATCTAGTAGCTTGTCTTAACTTGGGGCTAACTTGGGACTTAGTTTTCATCAATATTATCAATGCTGCTTTCTTTTTTTATTAGTTTGCTTACAAAGTTCATATATATTGTGTTTCACACTATTATTCATTCATAATGTGTTGCATACAATCATTCCCATGCATTATATTTTATAAAATTAATCACCACTGGACCTTGCCAATCATTACCCTGCATTTTCAAAAAAATACGGAATGCCTCACGAGTTTGTATGTCATCCTTGTGCAGGGGCCATGCTAATCTCTGTAGCATTCCAGTTTTAGAATATGTGCTGCCAAAGTGAGACTAATGTGTTTCTCATAGACTGATAAACACTGTTTACTCACCCAAGAAATACTCCAAAGTCCATGTTTCTACCATGCAGTAGATGACCTAATTGAAAATAAGTTAGAGAGATAAGTAGTAGCAGAAAGCATAGTACTAATGGTTCCAAGTCAAAGCTGGACACTTTAAGTTTTCCTACTTTAAATTCATGGCTGTTGAAGCCAACATTAAGAATCAAACAGGAAAGAAACCAAAACAAAACCAACCAAAACAATACCAAAAAAAACAAAAAAAGAAAGCAAAACAAACAAAAAAACCTCAAACCAAACAAGCAGCATCCTGATGTCTTATGGTTAATTAACAAAATAATTGGCACCTTCTTTTCTCTAAATCATAGATCAACACAGTGACTGTTAACAATGGGCGGGAGCACATCAGAGGTCATGCGGTTGTCACAGGATAGGGCAAGGCTCAGAGCCGCTGTTCACAGGGTTGCTGTGAGTCATGACTTGACTTGATGGCACCTAACAACAACAACTTCTATCAATTAAATGTTGTCATGCTCAGCCTTGCCAGATTCCTCCCACAAAACCTGAGAACAGCGTTACAGATAACATCAGAACACAGGGCATGGGTGGGAAGGACCAGTGAGTATCCTTTAAACAATTAAGACACAGTTTCACCAAAATGGGTATCTTCACATCAACTAACGTGACTTACAAACATACTTCCCTTCAGAATTGTCACCTACAGTGGGACACCTCAAGAATTAAGGATAGGCAGATTTAACAGACAAACTATAAGCCAAGGAACTGGGTGGATCAAAGGAAACCATCCTGTACCTCGTACCCTGAGGAATCTGCCAGGAAAAATAATGGATAATTGAGGATGGTAGAAACAAAGTCACACATCCTTTGTGGAAATGCTGAGGCAATATTTAACCTAGGCTGCCATGAAAGACCGGGACGATTATTTATCTGATGGTGATGAAGTAACTCCATTAAACTTTGAGTGCTACTGAGTTGGAACTGACTGCTTGCTGACGCTGTAGCAGGTTTTCAGAGGTTTTCAGAAGCAGCCAATCACACGGGAGGTGACTGCTTCTCTTCCCGCTGTGGAGCAGGGGAGGAAAATGCTGATGCACCCCAAAAGACAAAGTTCTCTGCATGCCTGAACTAATTTTGACAAGAATTATGGCAATCCTAAATGAAGGATCCTTTTCAATCCACTTATATAAAATGAACAAGGCATACAAAACTGTCAGCCGTATAAGGAGATTTTACAGAGCAAGTCCAGGTTTTAAGAGAGATCCGATCACATCTATTTGGAATATGTTTTTTTCCCGTGTGACCTGCACTTCCCACCCTCCCCTGAGCACACATTTACCTGCTTTGTCTTCTGTTATTATTGAAGTACACATGGAAAAAAACTCATAGAAAATATTGAACGAGATAATCTCGCCTGTGAGAAAAGAAAGAAAATGTTCACGTTAATGCACAGAGCCATGACAATGTGAAAATATGTCTTTCGGGAAAAGTTAAGAGTGCAAATGGCTAACTTCCCCAGTGGCTAAGAAAAGGGCTGGCAATTAAAGCGCCCTCAGAAGTGTGCCCAGAAAAAAGGCTAGAAATCAGCTTCTGAAAATCCAGTCATTAAAACCCTACAGAGTAGTTTTCCTCTGACATAGTTTTACCGTGGCCAAGAGGAAGCTCGACTGCTTAAGGTTGTCCTCTGGTCCATGCCAGTGACTGACGCAGACCAGAGAGCATGCCTGAGCAGCCAGGCGGGTGCTGGTCCTTCACCAGCCTGTGCCCTTTCCATGGTCAAGACATAACGAGAAACAGCAGGCTGGAGTTGTATGACCACGTTTTTCATCAGTATATTTTCTTTTCTTTGCTGAGCTCACACATAATTTAATGAACCTTGAATATATGCTAAAAATGTCTGAATGTATTTTGCCCAGAGTTTTAATGTCACTGGAGCTCTGGGAGTGTGGTGTGTAGGGAATTGCGTTTCTAATTCAAATGCCACATCTCTCTAGTGGTTTGTTTCCACTGGCGGACCTATGGGAGAAAGAAGAGCGGTCTCCTCCTGTGTGATTTACAGCCTCCTTCAAACCCTCTGCAGGGTCAGCTACAAGTTGGTTCTGACTTGACAAGAGTGAGTTTTGAGGGTTTTATTGATTTTCAATTAATAACCAAACATATATCCACTCACAGCTTCTACATGGAAAGTTCAATAACACTGGTGAGACAGCTCACATTGTTAATCACACCATTAATCTTAATCAAACATGTGGTTATAGTTGGTTTGCAAGCATTTCTCACACAACAAAGCAGTCAGAACTCACAATAGGTTTAAGTATGTATTTTTTATATTCTATTTTTGCTATAATGTTTCTAAAAATAATGATAAAAATTCCAGCATTTTTGTTAATTATTTTCAGAAATTCTCAAACATCTATCTGTGTAAAACCAAGGTAACTAGTAGCTTCTAAAAATGGTAATATAATTAATTTGGTAGCTTGAAAATGAAACTTTTAAAGTAGTAGAAAAATATTTTTCATTAATTTAAAAACAAATGTTAAATGATTAGAAACTTAAAATTTAAAGCATTTTCCAAAACCTTTAATACCTAAGAACAAAGAATAATTTGTAAAATTTCTTCCCTGGAAATAGAAGGCACAGTGCAGAGAAACCTATGACTTAAATAAATGGAAAAATAAACAATACTCATAGGCTGGAAATCTCAGTATTACTAAGGTACCACTTTTCCCCAAATAAATAAGATTGAAATCCCAAATAAATGGAAAAATAAACAATACTCATAGGCTGGAAATTTCAGTATTACTAAGGTACCACTTTCCCCAAATTAATAAGATTGAAATCCCATTCAAAATATCACCAGGCTCTTTTGCCAAAGTTCACAAAGTGATGCTAAAAGAAAATTCTGAAGGAAACAAAGTTGGAAAACCTATACTACTTAATTTAAGATTTATAAAGACTACAAAGTTTAAATGATGGAGATAATGTTGTGGTATTGGTATAGGGGAAAACAAATAGAAACATTTATAAAATATATCAGATGGTCACATGATTTATAATAAAAGCACCAATGCATTGTACAGAACAAATGGAAGTCTTTTCAACAAATGGTGCTTTGATAAGTTGCTATGCCATGTTAGGGGGAGGGGGAAGATTGAATCTTAATCCTTATTACTTTATATCAAACACAAAAATTCATTCACACTATATCATAGTCCTAAATATGAAAAATAAACATAAAACACATGGAAGAAATATATAAGAATGCTTTAATAAATGTGGGATAGGTGTTGTTGTTGTTATGTGCCGTCGAGTCGCCTGCGACTCATAGCAACCCTATGTACAACAGCCCTAAACTCCACTCTGTCCTGTGCCAATCGCA